TTGGCATTGGCTAAGTAATAAGGTGTCTTTTCATTAGGAGGCCGACCAACTGTCTCAATCAATGGGCCAACTCTTTATTGAGGAGGAAACAAGTCTTTATCTTCCAGAAGATACAGGCAACAGTAGTGAGTTTTCCGGTGCCGAGGACCAACGTACAGTAGGAGCACAGAGAAAAAAGTTAAATGAATTTTTAAGTGCCTGCAACTTTGGAAGTACTGTTGGCATGTACAAGAAATAATGGTAAGACACAAGTTTGCGCACTAGAAGAAGTCGCGTATCAAAAGGTAAAGAATCAATTGTAGCAGCTCTGAATGTGATTGCACCTTGTGATGCTGGTCCGTTATGGGAGGCGCTAAAGGAATCTAAGTCTGTGGAGAAAGCTTTGGGGATAGCAGAGGAGTCTCAGTCAGATAGGAAATATTTGAAGGCCTTGGCTGAAACGTACAACAACGCATCAAGCTGGGCGACGCGCCGTCAAATATTATCAGTCATGGCGGACCTTACTTCCTTAGAGAAAATCCAGGCCTACATACCCAGCATCACTGAATTCAACTTTGCCATAGCCAGGAAGCACAAAATAGAGTACGGCCGAGGTGTTCCACTACCCCTGCAAAAAAGCCCAAGAATGCGTGTGGACACCAATCAGCTGGACCATTTCATATCATTCATTACAAGCCCCCACATCATTCAAGACCTCCCTTTTGGCCAGCGGTACTTACATCTTTCGACTGGTAAAGTTTTGGTGACACCCAATGTGATACGTAATATGATACCACAGCGTATTGTTAAGCAATACATGCAGTACTGCTATGAAACAAATTTCAAGCCATTTAGTCCGTCGACCATCCTTCGCATTTTGTCTTGTTGTAGCGCAACGGTTAGGAAATCCTTGCAAGGACTCGATTACATTGCGGCAGAGGGAGCGAAAGGATTTGATGATTTGCACCAAATTTTGGACCGTTTAGGAGAGTACGGTCTTAGAAGGGACCTGGTGAGCCATTATCAAAAATCTCTTAAGGAAGCAAAGCATTACTTGAAGGCTGAATATAAGGTATATCAGTTGTAATCAAAGTATGTGATTTGAAAAGGCTTGCCATATTGTGAAAGCGC